TCTGCAAATTTGGTGGCATTCTGGGAATACTCCCACTTAGTTGATTTCCTCCAAGGTTGAGTTCTAACAGAAAATTCAAGTCTCCAAGAGTGGCGGGGATTGAACCAACAAGATTGTTGCACTGTAGGCTCATGTTCGCGAGTCTCTTCAAATTTGAAATTGAAGATGGAATTGGACCAGTAAAATTATTCCAGCTGATGTTGAGTGTTTCCAGACTCTCTAACTGTGCAATCTCAGGTGGGATTTGCCCACCCAACTTGTTTTGCTGAAGGTTCATAACTTGAAGCTTGGTTAAGTGGCCCAGTTCCACTGGCAGTGTCCCAGTTATGTCATTCTGAGCCAAGTTCAATAGCAACAAATTCTGGCAGGCACCCAATTCCGGAGGTATGGACCCAGATAAGCTATTGTTTTCCAGGTCCAAGTAAACCAGGTTCTGAAATGTCGCAAGTTTGGCCGGGATGGAGCCGCTAAGTGAGTTGCTTCCCAATTTCAGCCTTACCAAACTCCTGGAAGACATTCTTTCAGGTATTGTTCCACGTAACAAATTATAAGACAAATCCACATGCTGCAAGCTTGACTGTGACAAAAGGTCAGATGGAATCAACCCATGTAAGTTATTATAGCTAAGATCTAAAATTTTGATATATCTTTTAATCCCAACAGGAACTTCACCAACAAAATTGTTCTGATTAGCTTCAAACCGCTGCAGGGTGCTGATATTTGAAATCAATTTGGGGATTTCTCCACTCAAATGATTGGATGACAGAAGCAAGAGTTGCAACTTGGACAGGTTACCGATAGCTTCAGGGATGGACCCAGTAAGATTATTATCACTAAGATCAATGAGGGCTAAATTCTTATATTTAAGCACTTCTACAGGAATTTCACCATGGAACTTATTCGTTGACAGCTGAAGTTGTTCTAAAACAAAAGATTTCCCCAACTGAGTAGGAACAGACCCACTGAATTCATTGAAAATAAGATTCAAACATTTGAGTGAAACCAACTGACTCAACTGTGAATTAATCTCTCCAGTCAAACTATTAAAGGATAAATCCAAGAATTCAAGTCCAACAAAATTTCGAAAAGCAGGCAAAGGACCAACCAACCTGTTCCTGCTAAAATCCAACACCTTCAACCCATCAATCTCTCTACAACCATTGAAGAACCCATCTGAGATACTTTTCAAATTATTGTTGGACAGGTTCAGAGACTGCAAAGAATCAATCCTGCACACCTCACTCAGAAAGTCAGAGCTAGAGAGACCAAACCCAGATAAAGAAAGTGAGATTATTGAGCTGTTGTTTGAGCGGCTGCATGCGACTCCTTGCCATAAACATGGGTTTGGCTCTTTGGTGACATCCCATGGCAATTGTGTGCCATTAAGTTGCTGAGAAATTGAGATCATAACAGTGGTTTGGGTCGAAGGTGGCTTAGAGAAGACCAGAGGATGCATGAAGCAAAAGAAAACAAAGAACATACAGGTTTTTGGCACGGACCACATCATTCGGTGTGCTTAAATTTGTTATTCCTGTACACTTCTTATACTCCCTGCAGTTTTTT